TGCAGCCCAACTTATCTATCAGTATTAACCTGGGCTTTAAAAACTGTGAAACTTAGGAGATTTATTAATGCGTAGTTCCATGGAGCTAGCAGCAAATACTAGTCTGGAAAAATATTTTTAAAATTCAGCAATTTTTAGTACTGACCTAACATAATCTTAACTCCTTCATTTCAGTTGTGTGTCCTGAGGGGTTGTGTATATGTTTATGTGCATGATTAACTTTAGGCAGCTGAAAAACTTTATAAAAATCAATTATACCAATCCAAAGGGTGCATCTGGGCATATGTAATACATTTTTAAAGTACTGGGGCTTTTGAAGGAAGTGCTGTTACATTAGACGTGCAGCTACTTTCTGTGTGACCCTTCAGGCATGGCACTGTGTGCAAGGTTATGGATTTTCCATTCTGTTTTTCCAGTCAGTGGAAAACATATAGCAATTCTACGTATGCCTGTAAGCGTCCCACGGTCTATTCATGAAATGTCCTTTATGAAACTTTACATGGGAGACCTTGTGCTGTCCAGTAATGTAGTCTCAGATTTTGAGTCTGTTTCTGAACCATCTTCATGCACACATGTGGAAGTTGCAGTGAAGTCTATGTGTTGAGGGAAACAAGTAATGGCTTTGTTTTTACATTGTGGATAAAACATGGCTCACAAAAGTCGCCCTTAGCAACTTTTTAACATATGTGTCATTTCATTTTTTTTAGTGGGTGAAGCTAATTATTGATAACAAGATAGAATGCTGAAATTGGATGATAGTACTGAGAGCAGATTCTTTGTGGGTAGAAAGAAACATGAATTAATGTAATGCAACATATATTGCAACAACTGCCCTATCATAAAATTTCCCATTACTAATGTAGGAGGTAACTGTTTTAAGGATAAACTGTAGTATTAGAAAATCACATACAACTCCATAAATGAAAACATCAAACAATAGTGGACTAAGAGGCACATGATGAGCTTTGCTTTCAGGTTATGTCTGTGTTGGATTGTGTGTTGAGACAGTTTAACCTGAGTTGCAGCCCACTCTGCACTGCAGCATACCTAAGTCTTGACTCAAGCCTGATGAAGTTAAAAACGGTGTTCCTACAAATTCTACTGATCTTTTAAGGTACAGTCAGCATCAGAAGACCAACGTAGGCCGTTTTTGGTATGAATTTTAGTGCTTCTCAGTCATAGATCTGACGGATTATTCCTGAGTATGTATTGTAGTAGCTCAAATGAAAATGAGTCTTTCAAAGGTTCTCCCATATAAAGCCTCTTTGGCAAACGGTTAAAATTTTCCTGAATGTGATCAAAAAAATCTTTGGTAGTAAATCTGAATCAATACTGCTGTACTGCTGTTTGTGTAAGTTTAAAAATAAAACTACCCAGAAGGATAAGGAGGAAAAGTTCACTGTAAAGAGGGATGGATCCCTTTCTATCTCAGCCACTGGTCCTGCTATTTACCCCCAGTTTCAGGTGAATCTTCATCTTGAGAGCCAGTTTCATTGCGAAAAAGCGTTTGTAGGTGCTATGCTGACCAGCCACCGTGAGGCCAGCTTTGTAGTCTAATATCACGAGATCCTGACATCTCTATACACAGTGAGGTGATATCATTGTTTGGAAAATATACTAGCATTTTCCTATGCTGGCATGACTCTTGCAGCATTTGCTTTGCTCTGTGAGCCAGGTACAGAGAATTCCTGTGCTGTATCTTCAGAAGAACTCTGCTGCTGCCAGGGCTGCTGTAACTAAAAGTATTTCCCTACCAAAATAAATCTTCTTACTAATGTTTGTGCTTTATATTAGACTGTTAAGATTCTAGAGAAACTTTTCTGGCTTTGTTAAGCTTACACTGATGATCATCTCAGTCTACCATCCTTAGAAGGGATGTAAATAGGACAACTTACAAATCTTTATAACTGTGAACTTTGCATGAGTTTGAAAATGAGCATTTAGGCTGTAAATTTGATGGGGTAAGGAAGGCATAGTAATCTTTTTGTTCTACATGAGATGTTTAGTGTATGGGATTTTTGCCCATGTCTAGGGTTGCTGGGAATGACAGTACTAATAATGTTCACTTGTGACCCAAGTCTGAGCTTGAGCTCGAGCCCATGGAGGTGCAGAGCTTGTCTGTTAACTCACACCACTGCTTGCTGTTGCCTTGGTCAGCAGGCTGCTCCGTGAGCAGCTGCTGTTGCACAAAAGGCCAAAGGGAAGCGCCTCAGTTTTGCCCCAGCTCTTTCACCCCTCCAAGTCTCTGGAACATACCCAAGCGCGTGGTGAACTATAGGTGGTCTCTCCAGCGCAGAACAGGCTGTGCGGTTGACTTTAACTGAAACATGAATCATCTCAGTCCTAAATTATTTTAATCCAATAAGTCATCTGTGTTAAAGGGTGCAAAGAGACAGCAAAGCGGAAAGAATGGCTGCCAAGCGGAGGATACAGGACACAAATAAAGCTGCTAAGATGACATGAAATATGAACTAGTAACGATTTATTCTAAATGCCGCTGGGGTTACAATGTGAATCACTTGGAGAGATATTCAGGTGAAATGCATTTTGTAGGCTTTCCCCTGAATGATTTTTATAGTCTCAGCAGAGGTGAAGGGAAGGCAAAGCTGTTAGTTACACAGGGAGTACACACAAGAGTTTTGAAGTGCTCCCAGACAAATTCTCCCTAATTGATGTATGCTTTTCAAGCCTCTTGTAAGTAGACGAGCACGAACAGCTGTAGTTCTTTTTATAGGTACAAACTAATCTCTAGTGCGTATAGAGAGCAACATGCTGCGGATTCGTAAGGCTTTTCTAGCCGTGGAACTATTCTTTTTATACCTTCTAAAAGTGGAAGGGAATGCAGAAGAGAGCAGATCGTAGTCTTCAAGAATACTACTTGGGAACAAAATCATTACAGGAGCAAAGGGTCTAGCCCTTAATGGCATGTACCATGCCCTTCTTATTAACATGTGAAACAGCATACGTGAGTTTTGACCTATTTTCTTGACAGGTTCAGCCTTTTGTGCCCTAAAGTGGGCAGCATTCGCTAGCATTTCTTCCCAGTTTTCGGTAGTGTGAATGCCCTTCATGGGAAAGGATGGGAAGAATTACATGCTTCATGTTTTTAAATAATTCTAAAAGCCTAAGCAATAAATCATAATAAAATTCCTTGAACTTGATGACTATCTTTGAACATACTTCCTGTTTGAAGATGATATGTTTTCTCCCTTCTTTCTCCTTATCGCTAGCTGTATATATTATCGGTTTAATATTGTCCTTTCCCTGGAGACAGTATCCGGTTGTGGTAGGTGGAAGGAGGAGCTGTAATAGCTCCTTTCCATCTCCAATGCCTATGATTTTATTTACATAAAAGCATCCTGGATTTTGAACAGGTTGTTTCTTTTGGCAATTTATTACCTACCTGAATGCCCCACTTTTTCATGATCTAACACTTGGCTGCTACAGAAGTCATTATCACCTCCATTTTTAGTTTTAATAGCCTTCCTGTTAATAAACCTCAATTTGAAGTAAGTTTCCAAAAGTTTGCTTCAGAACAATGCCCCATATCTTCTGGAACCCACTGATGATTTTTTTCCCTCTCAAAGGAATAAGCTGGTTACATTATTATTGATTTTATGGCTTTTTTTGATGTGGCATAAGGAAGAACTGATTTACTTAGGACAAAATTACCTGCCGGGATACCTCCATTTTTGCAACCAAAGGGAGAACTACTGGAGGGCCCATGGGGAAGAACTGTTTCAATAGCTCTTTGTGCCCTGTGCTTTTGGCTCAGAAGGTATATCCCAACTGTGGACTGACTATACCTCATAATTCTTATGACGTAGACTGCTAAGGATTGCAAATGGATTCTGTCTATTTATTCTCAAGTGCTACAAGGAGCACCAGGGAAAAGAGGAAATCACTATTTCATAGAACTCTTTTCCTTTCCTTTTGGGGGAAATAAGTACAATCTTATGGATTTAATCACTGTGGGAAAAAACCTCAGCTATAGGGATGCTGCTGTTCAGAGAAAAGAAAAATTAAAATGCTAAAGTGGGGATGGTAAGGATTCCACACATTTCTAGAATAACTATTTTTGGAGAATTAACCCTTCTCCTTCAAGATATACTTTAGAAAAGCACATCTAAAGGTAAACCACTTTGTTATATTAGAAGGCAGATGTATTGACTTACCCATAAGACATTTTAGTACAAACATTGCTTTGAATTCTTCGTTCTTGTCATGAAACCTGCTATAAGAAAGTTGGGAGGAGTTTCTTTTTACTTTCCTATAGCTCTGGGGAGGCTAGTTAGGAGCGGCTTAAACTGGTCTCTTAAGTGACTGTTGGAAAAAGAAGCTAAGTGTGGAAAGGACCATAGCCTTGTCCTCAATGTGATTCCTTTCTCTTTGCCCAGGATCTCAGAAATTGAAATAAAGATTGGAGACTTAAATTACTGTGCAAGTGCATTGCCTTTCAGTTGGATCATAGAAGAAATGGGGGAAAATGTGTCCTTAACGAGAGAAGGGAGCACTGACTGTGTATTTAAGTTTTCGTTTGGTTGAGGAACTTCCCAATAATGAAGAAACAATCTTCAGGAAGTAATGTACGTTTTCCCCCAAATCTCTCAGCTTTTGCTCAATAATAGCTTCGAAATTAAACAACACTAAGTGAACAAAGGCCAGTTTTGAATCCCATAGTTCCCTTTCCTCTCAAGTTAATCCTAGGAGGCTTGTAGGTAAGATCCATGCAGAGGTGGAATATACCTGAGCAGAACAAAATCCAAGCAGAAGAAATTGTTTCATGAGCTGTGTAAAGAATAGGTTATAGATCAAGAAGTGAACCACTGGAGAGAGTTCTGATGCTGAAAAACTTACTCCCCATTCTTTTATCCTTGCTTTTCTTGTGTTGTCTTTGCAGGATTATTTCAGAACAATGTAGGAAGGTATTCTGGATTCAGCTGGTCTATAGTTGTTCCAGAGATATTGGCTAAGGTGATATTCTAGCATGCACCACTCACTTAGCTGTTTGACTTCTTGTTCTGCTTGTGGTTGTTGATCTTAGGGTACAGGAAACCAGAGTTGTATCCAGAAGGCAGCTCTACTCCTTGGACATTGCTGTATGTTATTGTAATGCTGGGTACCTGGGCTGCACATAGTTTGCAGTGAGACTCTCCTTTTCCTTGTCTGATACCATTCAGGCTCTCACGTCTCTAAGAGATGAAAGAATTTAAAAGAAATTGAAAGCACAAACATCTACAAGGAGATCAGGTTGCATCATCTACAAAAAAGTGGCATATATTTAGATAAATCAATCCCCATGACTATCTCAAAACCAAACTTAAAGGATGGAGAAAAAAGTACATTTTTTGAATATTTCATGAATAACTTATGAGAAAAAAATGGTTAAACAAGTTAATGTACTAGAGCACAGATTTTGCATTTGCTATTTAAGAGTAGTCTACTTTGACAAAAGACCAGGCTAATGACAGCACATTTGGCTATGAACAGAAGTGCTGTGAATATGCTCACATAGTCTATGATTTCAGTGAAGTAAGGTGTCCCTCCATAAAGAGGGACTATTTACATTTATTGAGGCAAGATGTGATGTAAAAGTTAGCGATAACAGTTTTAAGGAGAAAGCGAACTAGAGAATGAAGTGAAAACAGGAATTGAGAGAAAGATTAATTAGCATGTTTTGACAATAGCAATATTAGCTGTCACTTGCACAGGACCAAAAATTGGCAGTGTTAGAATGAGGCTAGCGAGAGCTCATAAGGATCACTACTAACAATAAAGAGATAATTTAAGATGTCTATATTACATTAGGGTTAATACTGCAAAGATAAAACTGGCTTGTTTTCACCTGTCAACTCTTTTCTCTTATTTCCCTGTCTGTCAAGAATTAAGGCAAGTTGACTCACTTGTGGCAGATGTCCAATTTTACCAGTATGTCGTAACTTTGTTACATGGCAGGAGAAATAGACACTAGCACAACATCTTCCTGAATAGGTGATATGGTATGTTTCAGAAACTTACCTTGATTTCCTCCGAGTTGCATTTTGTAGATGTTTGGTGCTACCCAAAACAGAGAACATTAAATAGTTGACAATGTCATTACAGCAGTACTTGCCACAAGACTATGGCTGTCTCAGAGGTACAGCCATGGAAATGTCTATCTCAGCTTACTGTGTGTATTATTCATGTAAAGATGGCTTAAGGAGAATCCTGTAGTACATGTGTTCACCTTCTGCTTAGTTTCAGCGATGATCTACCCTTTGTGATGATGTTTTCTATATTCTGCTGAGAGTATCATGCAATTTTTTACATCTCAAAAAATAACTTAATTTGTGCTCAGAGACTGGGATTGTAATTAGTTTTTGTTCTCTCAGTTAGTTAGACTCATACCAAATATTAAAATAGTAATTCTTACAGTAGGTGTAGCAGCGTACTCTGTGACATTCAATTCCACCATGGGTATGTCCTCAGCATCTACAGCTGTCTGAAAAATGAACATAGATAAGAAAGATATAAATGACATAGGTATGTCACAATATTTTACATATGTGAAATGGAAAGTATAGGAAAAAGAAATAAAAGCGTCAGCAGAGGACTGACTGAAAAGTGGTGATATGCTAAAGGTAGCCTTGTTTTTTACCTCTCACCATATGTGTTCTTCTGATAGCAAATGGCAAGACAACAGAAAGATTGACTAAGTAATTTGGACAGTGAAATACAAATGTTACTGAATATACACTTGAAACCAAACCCAAGACAACATACCATTCGGATGCTAAGTTCACTAAAACAGCACCACTGCTTGTTAGAAATGCAGCAAAGACAGCTGAATAATGAATCAGGGTGGAACTAAAAAGCCGATGACCTTTTACAGCCTCTAAGTCATTACTCATTGTGTTAACTCTAGGTTATCCCCATCTTCTTGGCAGGAACCTTCATGATTAATTACAATGAAATGTGCAGATTTGTTAACCTCCCAGTTGTCAGAGAATTTAGGTATTACACAGTCTATTACCTTCTCACAAATCCCAGAATCATGGTGCTTCAGTTTAGGTTTGGCTCCTACGTCACTAGTTTGAGTTGTGTCTTTACACGTTTCGTAGGAAGTCTGTCTGCTAGCGAGTCTGGAGAACTTATTGGGGGCGTCAGTTTCTGTGTCAATACAGCCCTAAAATGAATACAGCAAAAACAATCACACTTGGTTCCTTAGACTTCCGTCCAATTTGCCCCGTGAGAATCAGTTTTACCTAGACAGAAATTATAAAACAGGCATTGTATAAAAGACATTTCACAAAAGTTATGCCATGTATGACTTCATAAAATCTTTGCTTATGAGAGGTACAAACAAAATTATCAAGTCTGTTGAGACTAAAATTTGACTTACTTTTTTTTTGTTCTCCACAGGATCCACTGCAAAATTTCAAACAAAATAGTATTTTATTGTAGTGGATTGTTGAAACTTCTCTGATTCACCTCATAGCTCTGAGGAGACAGTGTTTCCATAGTAGCATCCAATTAGGAAGCACAGGTGTTTGGAGGAATTAGGGCCAAAGTTTCCCAACATGGCTTGGGTGTGGGCAGAAATAAACGGAAGGAAATGTCCAGGAACTGCAAAATCACTGCTTTAGAAGCATTTGTTCCATGAGAGAGCCCTGATTTTATCAACTTTTCCAATTAATGGGAAACAAAAAAATAAAATGACAAAACACACCAACCCACCAGAATTTCCTAGAAGTAAAAAATTCTGTTCCTTTTCCTCACTCTGTCAGCCTTTTCACTACAATGAGGAAGAACAACAGAATTCCATAGATCATAATAAAAGAATAAAACAGCTAATGGGGTTGCGATGAGCAGCTCATGGCAAACCAGCCTATTTTCTGTTTGACAATGTACCTTGCCTTGAGATGGGGAACATAACAGTGTGATACACTTTCTTGATTTTTTTCATGCAGCAAGGGTTTTTCATAAGCATTCTGTGTGCTTCAGATGTAGCTTCCGTCAGAAGAGAGTATATAATTGCTTGAAAATACTCAAAGCAATTATTGGTACTGTCAGTTATTGATAATTTCATAAACTTTCCCCAGGGAAGAAAATAATAACAAGAGGTGTAGAAAAACATGAACTTCGATGGAACTGGAGAAATTGGCCTGATGAGTCTGTTACTGTTAAGAGAGAATCCCAATTAGTGCCTTTCTGCATTGTGAGTGTATGTCTAGAAGTCTTATAGCTTAACTGAGCCACATATGGTGCAAAAAAACCCCAAAATAGATTGTCAGTGAGCATCAAAGAAATTTTGTTTGTTTGTTTTAAACTTGAGCCTTTCTTTCTGCTCTGTTATTCAGCTGAACTGATATTACTTCTAATAAATCAGAGTATTCTATGGTCAAATCAAATAGTTAAGGGAAAAACAGATTCTTGTCAGAAAACCTTGACTCTATTATTGTTCTGAACAAGATCCAGACTTACTCAAAGCTTATAGGAAATTCTAGACTGCAGCATGCCAATTGCTTGGAATTTTTTACTTCATGTAGTTTTCATTCTCTATTCCACTGTTTAAACTCAAGCATTAAGAGTTGCTTTCCTAAGCAAAAAGAGTTGTTGAACTGTTTGTATGGTTCCCCTTCCCCAGCACTGACAGTACAAGAACACACAGTGTTACTGAAGAAATCTGTTAGTTTTTAAGAATCAGGATACACAATCTAAGAGATACAATATAAAAATGTTCCTTCTTTATTAACCAGTTTGAAAACCTTTTCACCTGAATGGTGGCTGCTAATCAGAAGAATTTAATTCTGATTGGACTGAGAAGTCAAAAGAATACAGAGTATAAAGAAATTGAAAGGTCATTGTTAAAAACAACTGATAGAATTCAGTGCTTGGCCGATTAGATATGATTATTACCTTGATTATGAAAAAGAAACACCAAGAGAATTATGGCTTTTCATATATTTGGAAATTTCATTTAAAACAATTTCAATTAGCTAACTAATATGCTTAGTTAGTTAGTAATGTAACTTTTGATTGCAAGAGGGAGCTGAAGATGCTGAATATTTGCCCACTTTCCATCTGCTATGCAAAACATTTGGTTTCACTTAGACTGGCAGAAGCAAGCTGTTAAGGTCTTCTGTGAGAATGATTCTGTAATGGATTTACTGATTCGTCTAAATCTGATTATTAATATGTTTCCAAATACAGCCCACTTCACTTTCAGAAAACATTATCTGTTTCATTACAACCTTACTTTCACTAGAGAACTATTTAGTGACCAGCAGTTTCTTTTTTGTGTGTGTCCAGACTCCAAATCTGTGTTCAGACAAATACATGCTAGAAGTACAATCATTCAAGGGTACTCTGACTCTAATTATCCCTTGCTTTCTAAAATTCCTGTTGTTCCATCTTTCCACTCTTCTTTCAGTGTCACAAACCATCAAGAAGACAAAGATTTATATTCTGCTTTTACACTTCAGCCTTCTGTCTTTTATTTCACTTTGTCCCTCTGCTTTCTTTGGAGCTCTTATAATGAGCACCATAATGCATTTTATCTAAAGAATCTACCACTTTGAAGGACTCTATATGAAAATGAGTTACTTTACGATTAAAATGGATATATAGGAAGTGTGTCTCTTACTGATTCACTGTCAGAGAGAGAAGACAGTCGCCTTTTTCCTTTCTGCAGCCCACTTAGTTCAGAAGACTGGCTGGTTACTGTCGCTCGTCTGGAGGAGGGATAACTGCTGAAAGACCATGAGCCTTTAGGAGAAATTCTCAGCAGGGATCCAAGGCAAGGAACATATGTTGCAATGGCTGCTCTAATGGATGAGAGGTAGAACCAGACAGATTTTTTTTCTTTTAGCACAAAAATTCAGTAATCATAAAGAATGCATTTATTCAGAGAGATGAACTAGTGCTGCATGGACTGCAAAATTACTGGGTACAAAAAGAGTTTTCCAGATATCCAATATCTCATATACAATCACCCTGGAAGATCACTTATTCACAGCGTTCTGCAGAACTCAAATTTATTGCTTGGCAAGGATAAGGGCATTAAAGTGTAAATCTTCGAACTGAAGGGAGCTATTAAAATGATGTTTTATCTGCTTTCAGCTTAATCAGGGCAAAAATAAAATTCTGTCCCTTTAAACTGAACCTCACAGAAGTACCACATAATGAATTATTTTAATCTTCCCCTAAGCAGCTATTCTAGCTTCCTCTTACACATCTGTTTGCTGGCTATCTGTAGAGTTATGCAAAATGTGCAGTTACAGTATTTCTTTCCTCATATGCAGTGTAAGAAAACTCTTTTGCCTAGCTTTCCCCTTCCTCCCAGCCTTCCCCACTTAGATGTTCATGCCCACCTATTCTCTAACCAGTTCCCCAGTAGGTCTTTGTAAAGGGTGAAACATACGAAGCATATATATGGCTTTGCTGCCATCAGTCAGGTCTCACAAACTGCATCTGAACTTGATATGGTAATGACCCTAGATGTTACAACTCAGAAGAAATACTGTCTGAAATATGAAAGCTTGAAGATGCACAAAATAGGGAAGAGGTGGATTGACTTGCTGAATTGCATCTCTCGCTGGCCTGGTAAATTTGACAAACTGCTATTTGCAACACTGACAAATGTCTTCATCTCTCATGAAGATAGTTAAAAAGTTTATGGTGCTTTCCTTTGAGGTGGGAAGGTCTGTATTTTTTATCATTTAATCTGTAAGCACAGACCAGTATCCATAAACATCTCTAACTCCCATCCGCATAGTAATTTGTTCCAAGTACAAATTCCACTGACATTTATGTGTCACTGAAAAGTTTTCTTGGGGAGGGCAAGGCTCTCTTGCAGAGGTAAAATGAGCAGGTGAAGCAGAAGTCAGGTGCCAGTCCTAAAAGTGACAAAGTTGCTGTCTGATTTTCTTTGCTATATTAAACATAGCTTATAAAAGCAAACTTACCTGTATTTGGGGTGAGTCATGGCATAAATGATGGGGTTATGGATGACAGAAGCTTTGGCAATCACAGCTGGTATGGAGTTCATGAAGGGCGTTAGGACATGGGAATACCTAGAGTAATGCAAATGCATTATATATTTAGTCTTGGGTTCTGTGTAGTCTATGCAGTTATAAACTGACAAGATAATGCTGTATTAGTAGAAGGAGGAGTTCTGTACCCAAACAGTGAGAGACCAAATTTTACATCCTTTGCTTGTAAAGATCAACACCAGCCTAACAGCATTTCTGAGAAACATGATTTTCTTGTGGTTTCGCTTGCAGCACCTCACTACTACGACTCAGGATGGTGGCAGTTCCCATGTTGTTTACCCTAGGGACAGTCAGACTTCAATAAGTAAATGTGCATTCAGCAGAGTATCTATCTGTTCCAAACTCGGCAGATATACTTGCTGAATAACATGTCTAAATAGATGTGCAGAATGAGGCATTATAGGGAATGATAACTAATAAATCTATTTTCCTGTTCAAACTTCATTTTTTGCCTGATCTGAACTAAAAAGGGAAGGGGAAGTATTTTTCTGAATTAAACAGTGAAGGAAAAATATTTTCAAAGAGTCATATATTACAACCATGTGCTACTGTGACCAGGCGTATATGCAGGTGATGTGACTCTAACGGATAAAATAATTATGATTGATGTCTGTCGGCTATGCTGCTATCAGCCAGTTAATTTTTGAAGATAGCTTGAAGTAGCCGATAAGGTCTTGGTGAGGAGAAAGTCAATAGAACGGCTCCGACCAAAATAACAATAACCTTTTGTAGGCAGTTTCTACCAGGCACCTTCTCCATAGACCTGCTTAGAGGCTATGGAGACCTCTTCCTGCATTGGTAGAAACAGTTGTAAGTTAAATGGCCCAGTAAGTCAGTCTTTCCTCCCAAGGATAACATCCTTTTTTAATCACTACTCTTCTTCCTGAGAAGACAGTCTAAGCTCCATCTTTCAATTAGCCTTGTATGTCTGTAATACTATGGGAGAAAACAGGTTTTCCTCTCAATCCTCTCTCAGAAGAAGGTCTCTCATATGAGTGCTGCAAACAAACAATGAAGAGGATTGTGTAAGTAGGTGGCAGCTCATCTTCCTGGTTAAGAAATTTTTCATCATACTATGGGAATATTATCTCTGTGATAAGGTGGAAATGGTTTGCCAATGGTAATACAGGAATCATTTTGTCAGCCGCCTGAATGTTGAGATGCCATTTCACCTCTAATTTAAGGCTTTTCTCTGATAGGCATGTTCTTCATATACAATTTTTAACGTGGTTTCTCCAAGTCACACTTTTAAAGCATTAGTTAGAGGTGTAATTCTTCACAGAGTCTGGAGAACACACAGCAGTGTGACCTTGTGGGAATGGAGTTTTTGACCCTGAGATGAGAGAGAGAGTGAGAGACAGAAAGATAGTGATGGAGAGTTCAGCTAACAGAAAGCAACAGTGACAAAGGCTTTTGTTTAAGCCAACCATTCCTGGAAAATACAACCTCTAGACCAACAATATTAGTGAGCATGACTGTGTGCTAGCTCAGTATTCCCCATCCAAACTATTTTCTGAAGGAATTAAGGTTCTTTCTTCATTTTGTGTGTGTTGTTGCTCTGTCAGACGAGTTGTCTTTAGCCCAAGACTGTAGCCATGTCAGACTCCATGTCTGCCTCCCATATGTGACATGTAGTGATTTTATCTGAGTTCATTGTAATAAAAGTCCTCCAGAAGGCCTTCAGGCTTGGTCTATTAATCTCTGAAAAATCCCCAAAGGATTGCCTAAAAGGCATAGTTCTGAAATGGAAAAAACCCTCAATGAAGCTGCGTTGCTCACCAGATGTCTGTCCTCTTATCTTAGCATTTTTTCTTCTTAAGCATAAGATTTTAGAAGTGCTATGTTTAGGAAGCTGTTTTCCTAAGATGTGTTTGAGAAGAGGCCCTGCAGTGGCCTCTTCCTTTGGTGTGTAACAAAAATCTCCCCTGCCTCCCGAAATGCTCCGTCATAAGTAAATTTATCCTGTGTGTCAATTTTAGGAAATCTACTTTTTATTTCTGACTTGAAAAATACAAATAGAAGTGTTTTATACTGTCATAGCAGTCTTCCTCTTGAGGATTTACAGTTGACAAGACTTTCTAAAGCAGGTAGTCACACCCATTTTACAAAGGCTAAACTGAAGCACAGGAAAATTCACGTGTTAACATGGGAGAAATATCCACATAGAGCCAAGGCATCTGGACTCCCAGTCTGTTACTTGTATCTGGATTGTATCAAGTATATTCTGGTATCAAGCTATGTACAGATACTGTATTGATAGTATTTTGCTTTTGTTGAATTGCTCAATTAAATAGATTAAGAACATGCTTAGATGATTTATATTTACGAACTTTTATATCCAGCACCAAAAAGCTCCCCAAAGCAAGTTTGTACTAATTTTGAACTTGCTTAAACTTGTAAGGAATTTCAGCAGTTTGATGTAACACAAGAAAACGAATACACTTTTGTAAGTAAAAGAAGTTGAGAAAGAAAAGAAATTCAACTCCTGGGTGGATGGTTTTGGGCCCCTTATTTAGCATTTTGGTGCTAAATAAAATTCAGATAGTTCAAATATGCTAGCATAGAGAATCTGCATTCAGAAGTCATCAGCACAGTAATGTTATGTTGCCAGTAATAACCTTCCTGTTTTCTTTTTTTTCCTTTTTTTCCTCCTTTTTTTTCCTTTTTTCCCCCTTTTTTTTTTTTAAGTCAAACTAAGAAAAAATCATGGTCAGCATGTGCCTAATCTGTTAAATGTCACTCCTAAATACATGAATGTTTTGGATGCACTTCGGGCATTAAACTTGACAGGTAGCTTTGACTTTCATCTGTCTTTTACAATTTCACACCTTTTGTTGTAACTGAATATTCCTTTGCGGATACATTCATAATTACCCAGCAAAAGCTACCAGAGCAACAACAGAGTATGGTGACCAGGAAATGACATAAAGCAAGATGACAATCAGTGCAATTTTGGCCATCTTCCACTCATTTTTCATCCTCTGATACTGTTTCTGGAACTCTTTATTTCCGTGTTTGTATCCAAATGTCTGAATAGACCTAGGGGAAATAAACATATAACAGCAAAAAAAAAAGGAGGTAGGGAATTGAGCAAATAGCTTCATAAAATGGGGCAACAATTACACTTATACTAGTTTATGCTAAAATTCATACACTTTTAATGTGCTAATGTATGTATGTGACCAGTCCTTCACAATTCAATGCACTTTTGTTGCACTAATCAGTGGTGAAATTCACGTGTGCCTCAGTGAAGAAAATAGTCCTGTACCAGCAGAATTTCCACGTAAGTCAGGTATTTGAGCCAGTTGAACAACACTGTATTAAATAGAGTTAGACAAGCCTTTGCTTCCTTAGGTCTGATTTTGGTACCTTAGTCTCTACTTCTGAGCTATGTGACTGCATATGCTGATATCTATAGGACAGATATCCAGAGATTACAAATGTAGTGGCAGGCATGGCCTTTATTTTTACAACAATCGTTTTTGTTTCAGAGACCCGTGATTAAGTGTTTTACCCTTTTCTGCATCATTAGACAATATACTGAACACCTCTGGCTTAAGTTCAGGA